TAAGATAACTGCAAAGATTAAAAAAAGCTACACACCTCCCTCACAATTTCTTCACAAGGAAATTCCTTGTGGGCATCAAGTTCTTTTTCCCTAAAATGGGTCTGTTGAATTTTACCCTGGCAACGTAAATTGATAACTTATCTTCACAGGTACAGACAAAGGACAGAACTAAAAAGTCATTTCTCTGCTCACCTGATATCTGCATTCTGAGTGCTTCCTCCTCCCTATTGTTTATGTAAAAATGCAGATTCACTGAGCCATACTAAGGCATAAGTGACTATTCCGCCACTGCCTCTCACATGTAAATTGCGTATTCAGTGACAGGCTGATCAAAGACTGAAAAGAGTGCAGCCTTTTGTCCCTTATCTACCTATGACCTGGAAGCCCTCACTTTGAGATGCCCCATCTTTTTGGACTGGACCAATGTACAGCTTACACATACTGACTGATGGCTCATGTCTTCCTAAAGTGTGTGCAGCCAAGCTTGAGAACATGTCCTCAGGATCTTCTGCGGCTGTCACGGGCGTGTCTTTAGCCTTGGCAAAATAAATTTTCTAAATCGATTGAGACCTATCTCAGATACTTTTGGGTCACATAACCTAAGTACACCCTCCTGTATGTTTAAGTCACCTCTAGATTACTTACGGCACCTAATACAAAGTAAATGCTACGTGTATAGTTGTTGTATTGTTTTGGGAATGACGACAAGAAAAAAGCCGGCATATGTTCAGGACATGTTATAAACATTGCAGGTGTAACTACATTTTTGATCTGGTATTGGTCTCATCTGAGGATGTGGAACCCGCAGGTGTGGAGAGCCAACTATACTGGCAGAAAAAAGTAGAGTCAGAATGAAGTACCAGCTACCAGAAAGGCGGCCAACTCAAGTTAGAGAAAATAGGCTGCCTTGCTGGGGATCACCCTAACGGGGCACAGGCCTGCCTGATATGAGGACTCAGCGCCCCAGCAGAGAAGCCCACATGGGTAGGTGCATCCGCCAAGCCCAGAAGGCTGTGTGCCTTGCATGAGGACCTTAGAGTTGGGGTGCAGTGTGGGTTGGAGTGGGGTTGGGTGGCAAAGAGTAGTCTCAGCACCAGCCCCCTACTCTTAGCTTCCCAGAGTTTTCACCAGCTTGTCACCAGGAGAAGCTGAAGAACATGCACCAGCAGCCACGGTGTGTTCCTTGTGATTCTGAGGGCTTACAGAGGCTCCAGGGGGCTTTTCAAGAAATCTGGTACCAGAATGGGATGCCATCGTTTCAGAGGCTTTTCCTAAGGCCTAAAGTTGGCAGAAACACTGTGAAAGACCTCTAAAGTAAGAGGGATAATCAATGGGAAGACTCAAAAGGTATCTGTGGCATAACAAGAAATAAATTCTTAGCCCAGGCGCGGCAGCTCATGCCTATAATCCCAGCACTTTGGGAGGCCGAGGCAGCAGATCACCTGAGGTCAGGAGCTCCAGACCAACCTGGCCAACATGGAGAAACCACGTCTACTCAAAATACAGAATCAGCTGGGGGTGGTGATGCATGCCTGTAATCCCAGCTACTTGGGAGGCTGAGGCAGGAGAATTGCTTGAACCCAGAAGGTGGAGGTTGCAGTGAGCCGAGATCGCTCTATTGCACTCCAGCCTGGGTAAAAAGAATGAAACTCTGTCTCCAAAAAAAAAAAAAAAAAAAAAGGAATAAATTCTTATAGAACACCAAATAAAAGTTGCTTTGTTATACCAAGTAAAAAGAAAAAATTTATATATTTGATCCTTGTCCTCAGTACCTGTCATAGAGCTCCTAAAACTCTTGGAATTTCCTGAGTGATAACAACATCTTTTGTTATTTATAAGGAACCCCTTTTGATCATACCAGACTTAATGTTAATGAGGTGAGTCAGGTGGGATCAATCACCAGAAAGACCAAGCATGGAGAGGATTAGAGAGTAGGATATTTCAGCCCCACCCTCCAGTTCCCAGGAAACGGGGAGGGGCGATGGAGATTAAGCTCTGTAAAAACGTTTGAACAATCCTCGATGAGCTTCCAGGTCACTGAATGCACAGAGGTGCTGGGAGGGTGGTGTTCCTGGAGCGCGCTTGGGAGCTCGGTACCACCTCCCACATACCCTGCCCCGTCCACCTCTTCATCTGTCTGTTCACAAAATGTGTTTCACTGAGTTCTGTGAGACATCCTAGCAAATAGTCAAACTGGAGGAGCGGATGGTGGGAACCCCGATTTATAGCCAGTTGATCAGAAGCATAGGTGACAACCAACTGCTTGCAAAGTGGAGGCAGTCCTGTGGGACCAAGCCCTCTACTGAGAAGAGCTGGACACTGTGTGAAGAACGCTTAAAGCCCTTTGAAGAGAAAAATGAGCCCGTGTTGTAACTACAGGAAGGTTGATCCCTTCAGGAGATTTGATGCTGACGGCTCCCACCGAAATCCAAGCCCAGCAGCTACCACCAAAGTTTCAACCTGCTCTCTCTGCCCCTGCGGTGCCTACCCCACATCCATTCCCTACACCACTGTCAATGCCACCATTTCAACAATAAAAATGAAGTAATATATCTTCCGCAGCTGAAAATTCTCCAACAGCTCCTAATCTCACTTCATAAATAAATAAATAAGCAAGCCCAGGGGTCAGCAAATTGTTTCTGTAATGGACCACATATTTCAGGTTTTGCCTGACACCGTGTCTAGTGCACTGTTGTGCTGCTGTGATGGGCTACGCTAGAGCGAGGCCACAAAGGAAACAAAGTTTGAGACAATCAATCACTCTCGGGGCATGCAAGCATGAAAGTAGCCATAGACAACATGTAAAAGAACAGACATGGCTAGTCCAAGGACATGTTATTTGGCCTATGGCTGTATGCACCAGGCTCTCACATCAGTCTTTGCATTTGCTCTTCCCTCTTCCTGAAATGCTCTTCTGCAGATTTTTGCATGGATGGCTCCAAGTGCTAGATAACTCAGTTAACAGATTAGACATATATTTGGAGAAGCAGCAGGATGCTAAAACAAGAAAATAATTTGAAAAGAGTTTTTAGATATTTCCATAAAAGTATTCAAGTAGCTGTGACTGGGAAGAAAGCAGAATTTTGTCAATCTTGTTTGCACTTTTTTTTTTTTTTTTGCAACAGGATCTCACTCTGTCACCCAGACTGGAGTGCAGTGGTGCTATCTAGGCTCACTGCAACCTCTGCCTCCCAGGCTCAAGTCATCTCTAACATCAGCCTCCTGAGTAGTTGGGATTACAGGCACATGCCACTACCCCTGGCTAATTTTTGTGTTTTTAGTAGAGATGGAGTTTCACCATGTTGGCCAGGCTGGCCTTGAACTCCTGACCTCAAATGATCCACCAGCCTCAGCCTCCCAAAGTGCTGGGATTACAGGTGTGAGCCACTGCACATGGGCATTTGCATTTATTTTAAGCCTTAGTTGATTATTTTTATTTTGAATTAGCTAGGGTAGAAGAGAGAGAAGACACTATAGTATCACCATGTTTAAGACCTCTAAAGTGTCTCTTTAAAAATAATTTTTTTAAACTTTTATTTTAGGTGTGGGTACATGCGAATCTTTTTTTTACATAGGCAAACACATGTCACAGGGGTTTGTTGTACATATTATGTCTTCACCCAGGTATTAAGCCCAGAAAGTAGTGTCTTTTCTGCTCTTCTCCCTTCTCTCCCCCTCCTACCTCAAGTAGACCTCAGTGTCTTTTGTTTCCTTCTTGTGTTCATAAGTTCTTATCATTCAGCTCCCACTTATAAGTGAGAAAAGGTGGCATTTGGTTTTGTGTTGCTGTGTTAGTTTGCTAAGTATAATAGCCTTCAGTTCCAACCATGTTCCCACAAAAGACATGATCTGGTTCTTTTTTATGGCTGCATAGTACGCCATGGTGTATATGTCCCACATTTTCTTTATCCAGTCTGTCATGGATGGGCAATTAGGTTGATTCCATGTCCTTACTATTGTGAATAGTGTTGCAATGAACATTCGTGTGCATGTAAGACCTCTAAAGTCTCAATGTGGCCCTGCTGGCTCCTTCTGGTAACTCTGACCTCACGGCAAGTGTTGTCTTTTCAGGGGAAGTTTCTCCCACTACAATCTTGGTGGTACCGTTCCACACCTATTGCATTTAGCTGTTTCACTTTCTCATAGCATTCAATCACAACCTGAAATTGTTGTGCTCATTCATGTATGTCCTTGTTTATTGTCTTTGTTTGCCTGTCATCCTCAGAAGCACAGGGATCTTGTTTGTCTTTTTCTGTGCATCTGGCACTGGTACAGCGCCTGGCACACAGAAAGAATGTGAGAAAACATTTGTTGACTGAACGAATGGGACAGATGCCTAACTAAAGAAGGCAACAGCCAAAACGTTCTAGAACGAGATCTGATTATATGTGAAAATCTCTGGTTGTCCTTCACAGAGCCTTAAAAGTGACTTAGAAACCAGTTTAGAGAACTGTATCAACTTTAGCTAATAGAGTTAAATTAATTTAGGTCAAAGCAAATTTGTCAACAGAAGAATTTGGATCTGGGCCAAATTAGACTTGGGGGAAATTTTGCTATGACATCTTTAGAAAATGTTCTCAGCTCTTTCTTTATTTTTTATCCACTTGGTCTGCTTTCCAAAAATGTTTACTTTTTTCTTCTGCCCTTTTTTTTTTTTTTTTTTTGAGACAGAGTCTCACTCTGTCACCCAGCCTGGAGTGCAGTGGTGCAATCTCCGCTCGCTGCAACCTCCACCTCCCAGGTTCAAGTGATTCTCCTGCCTTGGCCTCCCAAGTAGCTGGGATTATACATGTGCCCACCACCACGCCCAGCTAATTTTTGTATTTTTAGTAGAGACGGAGTTTCACCATGTTGGCCCGGCTGGTCTCAAACTCCTGACCTCATGATCCACCTGCTTCAGCTTCCCAAAGTGCTGGTATTACAGGTGTGAGCCACCGTGCCCGGCCTTCTTTTTACGATTTTAATCAAGTTGTGGCTTATTCTCTAGAGAAACATAGCAATTGAAACATCTAACAATACAGAATTTATTGAAATTAAATCAAATTTCCTTCATCTCTATGTATGAATATGGAAACAGTTCAATATGCAGAGCATTCATTTAGCATATAGTGAACAGCTGATTTGTGTCAGGCTCTGTGCTGGGCACTGGAAATACTGTGGTAAACAGGTCCCTGCCCTCATACTCCTGTGGGAGAGAGACATAAAACAGACCTATTTAAACAAACAGACCAAAATGTCAAGTTTTAGTAGGGACTAAGTAGGAAATAAACAAGGAGCTGAGATGGACAATGCTGGATGTCTTATTAGGTTGGTGCAAAAGTAGTTGCTGTTTTTGCCATTCCTTTCAGTTGTAGAAGTGGGGATATCTGAGAGAAGGCCGCAGCAGTGAGAAATGATGGTGGTCTGAACTGGTGATGGCTGTGGACAGAAGAGGAAGAGGAGGGGCTGGAGTTACAATTTGGCAGAAGAACTGACAAGTTCGCTGGTGAATTTGATGTAGAAATTGAGGATATGAGAACATATCAGTTGGTCTACAGGTGAGAAAACAGACATCATTCTAGTATTGTTTTGAGATGGAGTTTCGCTCTTGTTGCCTAGGGCTGGAGTGCCATGGCAGGATCTCAGCTCACTGCAACCTCTGCCCCCTAGGGTTCAAGAGATTCTCCTATCTCAGCCTCCCAAGTGGCCTGGATTACAGGCATGTGCCACCACGCCCAGCTAATTTTTGAATTTTTAGTAGAGACAGGGTTTCACCATGCTGGCCAGGCTGGTCTTGAACTCCTGGCCTCAGGTAATCCACCTGCCTCGGACTCCCGAAGTGCTGGGTTTACAGGCAGGAGCCACCATGTCTGGCCTCATTCTGGCATTTTTAAATAGAGGGGATTTAACATAAGGAAACAGTCTTACAAGTGTTGGAAAGTTTGGAGGAACCAAAAGGGGAACATGTGCTAACCTACAGATAAGTATCTGCAGGAAGTCACTGCCACTTGAAAGGCAGGAGGAATAGGAGGGAGGTGGTGATGTTATCAGAGCCCAGGAGCATCTGGCATCTGACAGTGCAGGAAGCTGCTGAAGCTGCTGGAGCTGGCCACTGCCTGACCCCGATGCGGGTGCTGGAACTACTGAAGGCTGCTGGAGCCCCCGCAGCTGCCAGTCACTGCGGCCCCCCTGGCCAGAGCTTAAACAAAATAAAACAAAACAGCAACAAGAAAAATTGGTCTCTCTCTCATTTCATGCAGCTTCCCACCAGTGCTTCCCATTGGAAGCATCTAAGTAGGCCAGCTGGCAAGGGAATCTGGGAAACGTAGTTCACAGGATTTCAGCCACCTCCAGCCAAGCAGTACACAGGATTTTGGGAATGGTACTTAGCTCAAACAAGCCAACGGCCAGCCCATGGAGGAATGAAAGATTTGTTTCTAAGTAGCAAAACAATTCCATAGCCTTAAAAAGTCCTTTTTCTTTCTTTCTTCAAAAGCAATATGTGGCCGGGCACGGTGGCTCACGCCTGTAATCCCAGCACTTTGGAGGATGAGGCGGGTGGATCACAAGGTCAGGGATTTGAGACCAGCCTGGCCAACACAGTGAAACCCCGTCTCTACTAAAGATACAGAGAATTAGCTGGGCGTGGTGCCGCACACCTGTAATTCCAGCTACTCAGGAGGCTGAGGCAGGAGAATCGCTTGAACCCGGGAGGCAGAGGTTGCAGTAAGCCGAGGTTGCACCATTGCACTCCAGCCTGGGTGACAGGGTGAAATTCCACCTCAAAAAAATAAATAAATAAATAAAAGCAATATGTGCCCATTAGAAAAAAATTAGAAAACACAAACAACAGAACATAAGAAGGTCCGTATTCCCACTTACTCAAAAACAATCATTAATAACATCTTGACACCCCCCCCCCCCGTCTCACACACGGAGACTCTTACCTTATATTCCATTTTATAACCCATTATACTAAATTTATACAATAAAACATTGGCTGGACATTTACTTTGTTCCAACTAGCTTCCAGTGTTATTTATGTTCTACCAACATTTTCCTGTTATAAATATTAAGAAAGAAATTGTCTGAAAACAAATTTGCAATTTAAGGAAACCATTTGTGAATAATACAATTGTAACCTCCAATTTGACTATTATGTGATTGTTCACTTAGGTTCAAAAAAGAAAACTATTTATTTTAACTCTAAGGTAAAATGCCAAGTCTTATCCTGTTCATTTCCTTTATGAGGAAGAAAAAACGCCATTAGTAGAATTTCTGAGCTGGAAATGAGCAGGCTAGAAGTGGAGAGGAGCCGCAGACACAGACTGCCCGAGAGCCACCCCGTTGCCCCTTCTGGGTTCCATGGTGTCAGACTTCTGATGGGCAAGCTGGTCCTCTGGAATGTGCAGAATACAAGATACCCAGGCAAAGTGTCTTTAAGGGTAGGACTGGTTATTATGGCTATGAGGTGACCACAGATTTCTTTGGTGTTATCTGTTAGAATGCTTTTGACTGCTAGTAGCTGAAAACCGTGACTTAATTTGGCTTTACAAATAAGGATATGTATTATCTGACATAACTGGAAGTGCAGAGGTAGGACAGGCTCCAGGGACAGTAAGATAGGCAGCTCAGTGATGTCACCAAGGTCCCAAGTTCTTTCAGTACTCTGCTCTGCCTTCCTCTGCATTGGCTTCATCCTGAGACTGGCTCCCTTTATGGGGATGTGACGGCTGCCAGAGGCCACTGGGCTGCTTGTTTCCTTTTTCATGTGCAGCAAAAAAGAGAAAGAAAGAGACCTCTCCTTTTAATATCATTTCTCTTCAGTTCAAACAGGCCAGTGGGTTCCCAGTACTGTTGCACATTGAAGTCACCAAAGTGCTGTAGCTGTATTCATTACAGTCAGGCTCTGCATAACAATATTTTGGTCAACAAAAAACCACATATAGGATGGTGGTCCCATGAGATTATAATACAGTATTGTGACTGTACCTTTTCTGTGTTTAGCTATGTTTAGATACGCAAATACCATTGTGTTACAGCTGCCTACAGTATTAAGTAGAGTAGCATGTTGTACAGGTCTGCAGTCCAGGAGCAGTAGGGCACACCGTAGAGCGTGGGGAATGGTAGGCTATGCCATCTAGGTTTGCGTAAGTGCACTCTATCATGTTCTGAACAAGGAAATTCCTTAATGATGCATTTCTCCAAATGTATCCCCCTTTGGTAAGTAACGCATGACTGTATTTGTTTATTGCTTTTTTTTTTTGAGACGCAGTCTCACTCTGTTGCCCAGGCTGGAGCACAGTGGCATGATCTCGGCTCACTGCAACCTTGGCCTCCCAGGTTCAAGTGATTCTCCTGCCTCAGCCTCCCAAGTAGCTGGGACTATAGGCGCCCGCCACTACACCCAGGTAATTTTTGTATTTTTAGTAGAGATGGGTTTCCGCATATTGGCCAGGCTTGTTTAGAACTCCTCACCTTGTGTTCTACCCACCTCGGCCTCCCAAAGTGCCACAGGCATGAGCCACTGCGCCCGGCCTTATTGCTATTATTTTATTTTTATTTTGTATTATGTAGCATTATTTATTTTTTCTTTTTAAACTGCAGATACCTAAGGCTTTATCTTCTAAAATATTAATTTATTAAACTGGGGTGGGGCCCAGCTGTGAGTTGTTTTTCGGAAGCTCCCAAGTGATTCTAGGATACAACCAGAGTTTTCAACCATGGATTTGGCCAGTGCAGGTCACCCGCCCACCCTTAGACCACTAACAGTTACCAGGGTAATGTCATAAACTGACTGGCTTAGAATGGTGGTTCTCAAAATGTGGTCTCAGACCAGCAGAAGCAGCTCCTGGGAACTATCAGAAATGCAAATTATCAGGCCCCATCCGAGACCTACTGAATCAGAAACTCTAGGGGTAAGGTTTAGCAATTTGTGTTTTAACAAGCTGGCCGGGTCTCTAACGGCCACTAGGGTTTGAGACCCACTGCCTTAGAGCAATCAGGCTCTTTCTCTGAAGGGAGGGAGAAGGTAAATATATGAAGAAAAGCACAGCGGTCTGTCAAAACTGGGAAGTCCAGGGCCAGTGGAGCCTAGCACTGCCTACCTCCCACTTCCAGGCCAGGAGCAGGAATGGGTGGGATCAGCTACCCGAACCCCAGAGACCCCTGGCTGTAGAAAGGGGGCCTCATAGCAATGGTGCCACCGACCCTCAGCCACTGTTATGAAGGGAAGAAGGCACATTCTGGAAGCAACCATTCATTTCCACACTGGGGATCTCGGACAAGTTTCTGCATGGCTACAGGCTAAGAAGACTGACTTGGTATACACTTCCCTTAAAACCTACAAACTTATTTCTACCTCTGCAAACTTCCAACAGGATCCAGGAAAAGAAAAAGGCCATTAGGTAAAAACAAAGAAATCTGAACAAAATCATGACTTTAGTTAATAATGTATCGGTATTAATTCATAAATTATGACACATGTACTATGCTGAAGCTAGACGGTAACAACAGGGGAAACTGGGTGTGCGGCTTACAGGCACTCTGCCTGTCAACCTTCACGACCTGCCTGTAAGTCTAAAAGTACTCTACAATAAAAAGTTTACTCTAAAAAAGATACAATGAATGCTGTTCAAAGACACAATTTGACACTATTTGTATAAGCCATGCAAAGGCTTTTTAGATATTTTCAGCTTAAATGAGAGCTGAGTTGGAAGGTATTATGAGCATTCCTAATAATGTCACACTCTCCAGAATCTGTACACGGCCAGATGATCAAAGAGCAGATGAGAGAGGCGGAAATTGTCTCCGTGCTGAGAAACAAGAACTGATAAAGTAACTTTCTTTGCCATACTCATCTACCTGGAAGAGGTAGGATGTTCCTCAGAGAGAAGAACGTCGGCCGGGCGCAGTGGCTCACGCCTGTAATCCTAGCACTTTGGGAGGCCGAGGTGGGTGGATCACCTGAGGTCAGGAGTTCAAGACCAGCCTGGCCATCATGGTGAACCCCCATCTTTTTTTTAAAAAAAAAAAAAGAGAGAGAGGAACATCATCAGATCCTTCCTTCTCTAAACTCACTTTATACCAGTGAGCTCCAGACCAGAAATATATTTCAGGCACTGTCTTCTTATTTCATCAGCTCCGTTAAAATGAACTCACTCCTGCATCCTGAGGGGTGGACCACACACTCCAGCACATGGAGGGACAGCTCATTACCAACTGTTCTCAACAGACCTGTGCATCACTGAATTTCTGTTGATTACTGGAAATCCTGGGCCATAAGTGGAACGCAACAAGGGGCAAAACCTAATTTGTAGTTTGGAAAATGACTCTTAATGTAGTGTACTAAATAATTTATGGGAAGTTTTGCTTATCTCCCTTCTGCACCAAATATCAGTAAAGAAACCAATAATTAAAATAGTCGTTACAGGTGAAAGTGTTATAACTAGAGTTATAACAAGAAAAAGACTACTTCAGGGCAGAAACATTTGTTTCTATGCCAGATGTGTGGCTCAGAATGATTCTCCCTCCACACCCCATGTTACTACATGGGAATCTCTCAAATTTTGTCCTAAATGGTTTGCTTGTTTGTTTGTTTTTGAGATGGAGTCTCGCTCTGTCGCCCAGGATGGAGGGCAGTGGCGTGATCTTGGCTCACTGCAACCTTTGCCTCCTGGCTTCAAGCAATTCCCTGCTTCAGCCTCCTGGGTAGCTGGGATTACAGGCACCCGCCACCATGCCCGGCAAGTATTTGTATTTTCAGTAGAGATGGGGTTTCACCATGTTGGCCAGTCTGGTCTTGAACTTCTGATCTACCTGCCTTGGCCTCCCAGAGTGCTGGGATTACAAGCGTGAGCCGTCGTGCCTGGCCCTACATTGGTATACTCTTTCAGAGTGACCTTGGGCAAGTTCCTTAGCCTCTTTATTCTCATTTTTGTCATCTTTGCAATGGAGAATAATAGTATCTATTCTTGGTGGTATTATAAGAATTAATTGAAGTAATGTTTGTAAACTTTTAGCACAGTACCAAGTGTTGTAAAAATGTTTGATTCATCAATAGATAAGATTGCCTTTGCTCACATTGAAGTCATGCAAAATAATGACAAAGCTTCTGATGATATAGTATGGCAAAAACACACAAATAAATATGCAGGTACAGCTAGGAGGAAGGGAACCTCAGGTATGGCAGTACTTTGATGGAAAAAAAGATATGTAGGCCCCTTTCCTCAGCTGCTGCCAACATGCTCTGTCCTCCTGAGGAAGCTAAGGCTGCATTGGAGTGAGGCCCTCACTTTATCCTGCGACTAGCACCGTGTCTGGCAGCATCAGCCCCACACTCGCCCCACCATGGCCTCTGTCTCAGCGCTCACCTGCATCACCTCAGCCCTCATTCTGCACGATGATGAGGTGACTATCACAGAGGATAAGATCAAAGTCCTCATTAAAGCAGCCAGTGTAAATGTTGAACCTTTTTGGCCTGGCTTGTTTGCAAAGGCCCTGGCACACGTCAACATTGGGAGCCTCATCTGCAATGTGGGGGTGGTGGGCCTGCTCCAGCAGCTGGTGCTGCACCCGTAGGAGGTCCTGCCCCCTCCACTGCTGCTGCTCCAGCTGCAGAGAAGAAAGGGGAAGCAAAGAAAGAAGAATCCGAGGAGTCTGATGATGACATGGGCTTCGGTCTTTTTGACTAAACCTTTTTTAAAATATGTTCAATAAAAAGCTGAACTTTATTTATTTTTATTTATTATTTATTATTATTATTTTTAAAGATGAGGGTTTTACCATGTTGGCCAGGCTGGTCTCAAACTCCTGACCTCAAGTGATCAGCCCATCTCAGCCTCCCAAAGTGCTGGGATTACAGGTGTGAGCCACCACGCCCGGCCAAAAAGCTGAATTAAAAAAAAAAAAAAAAAAAAGAAGATATGTAGACAGTTTTCATCAGAAATTAAACAAACAAACAAACATGATGGAACCCTCTCATATTTCTGTTGGGAATGTAAAATGGTAATAGCTGTTGTGGAAAACAGTTTAGTGATTCCTAAAAAGTTAAACATAGGCTGGGCACGGTGGCTCACGCCTATAATCCCAGCATTTTGAAAGGCCAAGGTGGGCGGACCACTTGAGGTCAGGAGTTTGAGACCAGCCTAACCAACATGATGAAACCTTGTCTCTAAGTACAAAAATCAGCTGCACGTGGTGGCAAGCACCTGTAATCCCAGCTACTTGAGAGGCTGAGGCAGGAGGACTGCTTGAATCTGGGAGGCAGAGGTTGCAGTAAGATTGTGCCATTGAACTCCAGCCTGGGCGACAAGAGCGAAACTCCATCTCAAAAAAAAAAAAATGTTAAAGATTTACCATATGTCCCCAAAATTGTACTCTTAGGTATATTCCCCCAAAGAATGGAAAACAAGTACTCAAATTACTTATGCATGCCTGTTTATAACAGCACTATTATAATAGCTAAAAAGTGGAAATAACCCAAATATCCATCAGTGGATGAGTGGATAAACAAAAAAAAATCATGGTAAATGAAAGAAGCCAGTCACAAAAAGTCACAGAGTATGTGATTCCATTATTAGGAAATATCTAGAATGGGTGAATCCACAGAGAGAGCAGATTGGTAGTTGCTAGGGGCTTGGGAGAGGGGGCAATGGGGAATAACTGCTGAATAGGTACAGTTGGCTTTTGGGGTGGTGAAAATGTTTTGGAACCAGAGAGGTGGTAGTTGTATAACACTGTGACTGTACTAAATGCCACTGAATTGTTCATTATAAAATGGTTAATTTTACACTTTGTGAATTTTACCTCATTAAAATAAAACAACATACATAAATAGGACAGTATTACAATTGAGAATGCAGAAGCTTCTCTTCCACTCAACTGAGACTCTTTGGTTTCCTCATCTGTAGGAAAATGAAGGTGAACTGGGTGACCACTAAGATCCCTTCCAGTTCAAATTCAAAGGTAGGGAAACTCAACATTTTTCTTTCTCTGCTGTTCCTCCACATGCTTGGAATTGACTGCATCTGTACTGCAGATGCACACCGGAAGACAATGTTACTGTAATTAAATTACAGGGAAATTAATTTGTTTTAGTTATTATGGAAAGGTATTTTAATATTCATTATTATGACACAAATTAGTGGACAAATAACTAAAGCAAATGCACTTTAACAATTAGCCTGGGTTTTCCCTCTCTGATGCTCAGACCCAGAGCCTGTGCCTGGCTCCAGTCTGTCTATGTCCCTCCGTGCAGTCACACACTCTGATTTTTCCAGTCACGGTATCTCTGATTCCTCTGCCAAATGCAGTGCTGGCAGCCCTGAGCTGATTGAGAGGTCCTTGATTGATTAATGAGTGCCCTTGCCAAGCAGGGATGGCACCAAGGGGTTGAATTCCTCTCTGAACTGCCCATGCTTTACAACCAGCGTAATCTAGAATGTTGTCACTAGAACTCATACTATTGCTCTAGTTATATCGAGTTACAATTTTACTCTGGATTATTGAAATATTATTTGAATAGAAAACTAAATTTACCCAGTCCTGGGATTTGAAGTCTTAGGTCAACATGTTCATTTTGGAAGGTGAGTATATCATTTTCTGTATTTTACTGACCTCCACACCCCACCAGCGATTACAGGTTTTCATTCCTTTGTAAATTCCCTCCTTATCATTCCTAGGAATAAAAGATGTATCTACAAAAAACCTTCAGCTAGAAAAATTTCAGCCAGTTACTAAGGATTATCTGTCACCTTCCTCCTTTTTGATTCTGTCCCTTTTCAGGGATATCTACTGAGGTTTACGCAGTCCCCAAAGCTGCAAAATGCGCAACACAATGCCAACCAGGGTCCACACTCAGGCTGCCTTAGACTAGGTTTCTCCTGGTCACCCCATTACACATAGCGCCCTCGGAGGAGGTCACTGCAGGAGCCAAAGCAGTTTCTTCTGTGCAGGGTTCAAGCAGAAGTGGAGAGGAGGGCTTTCGTCCTTTTTGGTATTGTACTTCATTTCACTCCTTGCTGCAATTGAACAGTCCTCCAGGTTTCACTTTACGTCTCTGTTTCCCAGCAAACATTCACTGCTCAGATAGAGAGACGAAGCCCAGAGGCAAACACCCTGCAGAACTCCTGACTGCTCCCTCCACTGGCCTCTAAGGTTTTGTGCTGGGTCAGGCTAACTTGCCTGACTCTTTTCTCCTGACTTCTCTTTGGGGAGGCTCCACAGCCCTTATTGCAAATAGATCCTTCCAGATAAGCCCAGACATACTGAATCTGAGTGGAGACTGCCGTGGCTCAGGGTCAGACATTGAGTTCCCAGTAACTATTTATTAGGCACCCACTATATGCTAAGCACTGGGGTTCCAAGGATGATGGTCTCCACTCATCATGGAGCTGCTTTGGGAATTTAGACAACAGCTTCTTGAGCAGTGACGGCCCATTCAAGCCTTTACCCCAAGGAGAGGTACCTCCTGCTCAAATGTAATACCAAAGGTGCCAACTAATCACTGACTTGGCAGAGAACCTCTCTCAATATAACTAGAAGTTTCATCAAAGATTTTTTTTCCCACCCCCTCCACCTTCACCAAAGTTTCTTAAACACTCCACCACTGACTGCTCCCCCTCAACATCCCCCAGGTTCATACTCAACCACGTGCCTCTGTCTACTTCTTTCTAACCTGTAGCAGCACCTCTCTTCTGCTCTTAGTTCTTGTCCTGGATGTCACTCCTTTTCTCCCCTCAGAGGCAGAGAGGAGAGGGCTGCTGGAGGAAGAGTAAAAGTGAAAAAGCTGTAGGGGATTGTGTCCTAAATAAGCAATACCTGAAAAACCTGTACATTCTTTTCTTCAACTTAAATGAGGTGCACTAATTAGTGTACACCACTAATTAGTGTACATATTAGTACACTAGTTAGTGTACATATTAGTGTACACCAAGTGTACACTAATATGAAGTAAAAACGGTGCAAATAGCTTTGCATGCAATATATGAATCTTTTTTTTCCTGATTCTGATCGCTAGTTTTCAGTAGGAAAGGGAATCAAAACTCCATAGAGCAAATCACCTTATCTGTGGATAACCAAAAAGTCTCCTCTGTGGTGTCTGTCTCTCTTGTGAAAGTACAGCTGCTTGTGGGAAAAGTGAGAGACCTAGAATACAGCGTATATTTGGGGGACATACCTCTGACTGTTACAGAAGCATGTGATTAATTTTGGAGGTAAAATTTCAGAACATCGTATTTTAATAGGAAGCTTGGTAGATAAGTGGATGAAAACATCAAGCAAAGCAAAATACACCACTTGCAGAGTTCAATCAGAGATGACTCAGCATTTCTTCATTGTGCTCATCTGAGTCTCCTCAAGCACATAGTGCCTTGCACACAGTAGGGGCTGAGGGAAATATTTGTTAATGCGTTAATTTTAGTTAAAACTAGATACCTCCTAATCTCTCAGTGGCTGGAACTGGGTTAAACAGCAGAGGAATGGGGTAAAAAAGAAAAGACACTAGGTAAAGATAGAACAAGACCACTAAGACCACTGCTTAATAAATACATTTTATTTATTATTTATTTATTTATTTTGAGACGGAGTTTCGCTCTTGTTACCCAGGCTGGAGTGCAATGGCGCAATCTCGGTTCACCATAACCTCTGCCTCCCGGGTTCAAGCGATTCTCCTGCCTCAGCCTCCCCATTAGCTGGGATTACAGGCATGTGCCACCACGCCCGGCCAATTTTTGTGTTTTTAGTGGAGACGGGGTTTCTCCGTGTTGGTCAGGTTGGTCTTGAACTCTCTACCTCAGGTGATCCGCCCAACTCAGCCTCCCAAAGTGCTGGGATTACAGGCGTGAGCCACCGCTCTCAGCTTCTTGGGGTTATTATTTTGCTCAAAAGTCTATGAGATGTTGCAGTTAATTCCATTTACATTTTCAATGTGAGATCTAGGTTTTCAAGTTTGTTATGTGATTTTATGCAAAACAATATGCAAATCCAGCGCATTCTAAAAATTCAGCCTGTTCTCCAGCTGCTCCCCTGGTGACAAACAACTAACGTTGGCCCCGGGCTCTCCGGGATCCTTCGCGGAGGGGCTAGAGCAGGCGGGGATGACTGGCTGGGGGGAAGGGCGGACCCGAGGCGGGGAAAGGGCGGGGCTGGGGCGGGGCACGTGACGCGCGGAGTCGGCCGGCTTAAGGGCCAGACCTCTGCCTCTCCCGGAGTCTGGCCACAGCCGCTGCGGTGGTGGTTTCCCATCTCCAAAAGGCGTCCTCCGACTCCTTGCGCCGCCCTGCTCGCCGGGCGAGTCCGGCGCTGGGTTGTGGAGCCCTGCACCACTCCCTCTGGTTTCCGAACCCAGATCCCTTCTCCCGAGAGTTGCGAGCAACTTTCCCCTGTCCCTGGCGCTGCGGCGGCTCGGGGACCGTGGCAGGCGCAGGTTGCTGAACCCCGGGCCACGCTCCCCGCGCCTCGGCTTCGCGCTCGTGTAGATCCTGCTCCCTCTCTGGGTGCACGCTGGGGGTCCCGGACCTCGACTCTGCGGGCGAGATGCCCCTGGGACACATCATGAGGCTGGATCTGGAGAAAATCGCGCTGGAGTACATCGTGCCCTGTCTGCACGAGGTGGGCTTCTGCTACCTGGACAACTTTCTGGGCGAGGTGGTGGGCGACTGCGTCCTAGAGCGCGTCAAGCAGCTGCACTGCACCGGGGCCCTGCGGGACGGCCAGCTGGCGGGGCCGCGAGCCGGCGTCTCCAAGCGACACCTGCGGGGCGACCAGATCACGTGGATCGGGGGCAACGAGGAGGGCTGCGAGGCCATCAGTTTCCTCCTGTCCCTCATCGACAGGCTGGTCCTCTACTGCGGGAGCCGGCTGGGGAAATACTACGTCAAGGAGAGGTCTAAGGTAGGACGCGCTCGGCGCCCTGCCGCAGCTGCCCCCGCGGGGACGGGAGGCACTTGGAGTCCATTGTGTGTCGCCTTCTCAGGGCTGCAAGCGAGAACTTTGCTTTTTAACCAAGAAGTCAGCCTGGTTTGTCTCTCCTCGCTGCTTCCCCCCACCCCTCGCCCCAGCTCTTCTGAGCGAAAGTCCACGTTAAGGGGCTCAGGTGAATCAAGATGATGACCTTCTGTTGACTTTGAAATATTGGCTCTGGTGGGGCGGCAAAAGCCGGACAAGCTGTGGCTTTCGTCCGATTTTAAGACAAGAGGTTCTCAACGATCCAAAGGAGGGAAAGGGTATTAGAAACACTGTGTATCATCTAAGACACACGTGTTCTTAAGATCTTAAATGCCTACTTTAAAGCCACCTAGTACTGCCCTTCATTGTGGTCAGAAGAGATTTCTACAAAAGCACTCAGAATTCTGGAGGCAGTTGTGATTTTGCCATGTGGCAGTTGGTTTGTGGAGTTGGGCAGGTGTGAAAGGGTAAAACTCCACTTCTGAATGCTGCCTCTGCCCTCTGGGACCCAGCACGCTATAAGACCATCTTCTTGACTGAAAATTCTCTCCTGGTGCTAAGCCCTACCCCACCACGTTCCTTTTCCTATCAATTGATGGCGAAGTCCACTCAAAACAACCAGTTAAGTGCTCACTAGAGAGTAGTCAAGCACCTCCGGAAAGAAACCGTGTTTTTGTTCACATAGCAGGAAGTGACTCCCTGGGTGGTAATTTATCTTGGAAACATTTACAGGTAGATTGGCAGAAAAACGGGAACATGTAGGTACTGCGATGTCGGTGCATGTACATTACTTTGGGATAAGCCTTCTGGGTCTTTCCTTAAATGATGGTTGAGCCAGTTTTCCAGTGGCAGTTCTGAGTGACTTGCGCTTATCTTATGGTCTGGTTAATGGGCATTCATAACTATGGAAAACTTTTACTGAAACAGCGAAGCAAAGCATATTGGCATGAGAGGGAGGATGGACGTTCACCTATGCACCGCTCTTTGACAATAAATGTAGTATTTCTCAAATCGGTCTCAAGACTGATTCTGTCTCAAAACAGACCATTGTTCTCTCATTTCTCTATTACACTGAGAGGAACACTCCCAATGAAGGCCAAGTGGTGAGGACTGGAAACGTGTGGGAGTGAAGGGGTGGCGGTGGATACGAGTGCGGTGAAGAGTCATAGGTTGCTGTACACCTTCCAAGCCAGAGGCCATGAATAGAATATCTGAAAGCATCGTTATTAACGCATGGAAGTAAAGTAAATCTTAGGAGAAAATGCTGCTTTCTGAATTTTACTTTGGGGAAGAATTCAGTGTTAGCTGAACTCGGTAGAAGACTGATGTTAAAGTGTTTCTTTACTCTTCTGCCATTTTGGTGGTGGATTAGTCATTTGTCTTTGACTAGTTTGGTTTTTGCATTAAGTCACCTTGCTGTCTTCTGTGGTGGGGCTGGGGGAGGGGACGGGTCAGCCTCAGTGTCGCTGAGGTGCTGATAGCTTCAACCTGGAAGAGCAGATGGCTTCCTGTCGGGGTTTTGAATGTTTCTTCTTAACTCAGGTGTTAGGAATTTTTCCTCATCATTCTAAGAGTGGAATTTGCTCTGAGGGAAGTCAAGATTAATTGGTACAAAGAGGCCACTAACATGTTGAAAGTTAAATGTTTTTATTTAGCGGTAGGGTTTCAGACTAGAATTTAACTCAAATGGAATGAAAAACACTAAGTTAGGTTCAGGGGAAAAAAGATCTTGTAGATATGATTCATCAATTATAGGTTATCTTTTGGTGGAATGAAAAGCTTTCCAGGTGACCCTGTCAGAAGGTGATCGTGAGTTGAAAAGAAAATTCATCCTGCCCCACACCCAGATTTCCAGGTTTACTTTGGCTGGTTTGTTACAAAGCTCTTAGTTCTGCCCTTCAGATAAATCACCTTTCCATTAGAACATTCCCTGGCCAATGAGAACCAAATGCAAACCAGGCTTGAATAATTCGTGTAAATTGTTTTAAGTGTGCTTTGCTTGTATGCAGAAATCTCCTTAGTGTTGCCTCGTGGTCTTGGGTTTATTGTTTGAAGTTCATTATTAAAGTATTGTAGAAACACTTTCCATTCCTATATGATTTATATTGCTTTCACCTTTATTCCTTTTTTTCTTCAGTCACTTTTCATCCCTCAACTGAGTTCCTTATTTTGTGCTGCTTTCCAGAGCAGTGATACAGACCCAGTTGACTAGTACATCTTTCATGTATATTTTCAAGAAAAACTAATGTTTTAAATTTATTTTTGTTTTTCTTAAGGATTTTTTTTTTTTTTAAATTTTTAGTAGAGATGGGGTTTCACCATGTTAGCCAGGATGGTCTTGATCTCCTGACCTTGTGATCTACCCAGCTCAGCCTCCCAAAGTGCTGGGATTATAGGTGTGAGTCACCACGCCCAGCCAGGAAATTTTCAAACATACATAAACATAAGAAGCTAATATAATGAGCTCCCATCACCCAATTTCAACAATTGCCAATATGTACGTTTATTTTGGACCAATTGTTTTTAGTTACTTTAAAGTTCTTGAGGTTATGCTTATTAATACACTTACCCAAGTTTCTTTTTTTGGTTCTTTGCTGGACTTAGAAAGATCATTGAATAATATAATATTGCCCTTTTTCTCAATGAAGCAATAACAAAGGCATTGGTAGTAAAACAGAAAGATATACTGGACCTAAAATTGTAATTGTGGAAAAATATGGAAAGAAACATTAGATGGGCCTGTTCCCTGCCAAAAAAGTTGTTAATGGTCAGAATTTACCTACCTCATTTTTGTTGGACAAAAATCCAAGGGTCAGAACCAGATGTGGCAGCTCCCGCCTCTAATCCCAGTACTTTGGGAGGCCGAGGCGGGTGGATCACAAGATCAGGAGTTCGAGACCAGCCTGACCAACACGGTGAAACCCCGTCTCTACTAGAAATACAAAAGTTAGCTGGGTGTGGTGGCGCGCCTGTAATCCTAGATACTCAGGAGACTGAGGCTGGAGAATTGCTTGAACCCGGGAGGCGGAAGTTGCAATGAGCCGAGATTGCACCATTTCACTCCAGCCTGGGCGACAGAAAGAGACTTCTCTAGAAAAAAAAAAGAGAAAGTAAAAAATCCAAGGGTGTTGAAGACCCCTTGGCAGAAGTGGTTCCTGTAATGTACAGCAGTATGGCGCCCCCTAACTTCAAGCATGATCATTGCTTTCAGGTTAACAAGGGATTTATCCCGCTACTCCTTTTTGGAGATTTTAGACCATATCCAAGATAAATACTGGTCATAATTTTCTCCTTTTTCTTTGGCTGCCTAGATCTTGAAAATGGCTGTTTTCCAGAGTATGTATGATTTATAGAACCAAAAGTGCCTCTGATTCAAATAGCTCACTGTAGACTCACTAGTGACTGTAATAATAACTACCTTTTATTGAGCTGTTTGTATTGTCTGGCACTATGCTAAGCACTTTACAAATACTATCTTGCTTCGTCTTCAGAAACAGAGTCTTAAACATACTGAGTAATTAAATACTTTGCCCAAAGTTTCAAAGCCAGTGGTAGGAAAGAATTTAACTCGGGTTTAGGAGCTTAGGCTCAGAGTTACTAACCTTGTGGCTTTAGGCAAGTTGCTTGGTTTACACCAGGTGTAAAATGAGGGGAAATAGTGCCTTAAAGCTGTTGGGGGAAGAAGCGTTAAATAAGGTGATGTATATGAGGTTTTTAGCAGAAGTTTTCTTCTTCATCATTGTTTTAAGTCTCCAGAGGGGAAATTCGGGATTCTAACCCAGGTTTGTCTAACTCCAGAGACTATGTTCTTTCCTTTTATGCTCTCCTACTTCTATCCTTTCTTTTTTTCTTTTTTATTTTTTTTTAAAGATGGGGTTTCACCATGATGGCCAGGCTGGTCTTGAACTCCTGACCTCAGGTGATCCACCCACGTCGGCCTCCCGAAGTGCTAGGATTAAAAGGCATGAGCCACCACGCCTGGCCCCATCCTTTCATTTATTCATCGAATGTTTATGGGGTGTTCACTCGGTGTGGGGTACTGGGCAGGTGTGGTGGTGCAATGATGAATTTATACTTTCGTATGCCTTTGAATTGTAGGATTGTCTCATTCACACTTGACTAATTCTCAGGCTTAAAAAAATACCCTCAAACATTGAAGTGGGTCAGTTGAATACATTAGAAGAAGAAATGGAGTACTGTGCTCGTGTTTTCCTATTGTTATTTTTAGGAAAATATTTCTTGACAGGATTTTTTCTTAGGATTCCTGACCAGACTAACTCTGGAAGATGGCATTGTGAGGACTGCGTTGTGAACAGACAGATTAGTCCTTCCCTGGAAACAATAAAGAGGAATGATGAAACAGCAAAAAATTGATGAATAAAAGAAGATGTGTTGCAAGGTGGTGTGTTTATTCCTTTGCTGTTGAGCAATAGCAGTTTTGGCCCACCTTTCTCCTATGAGGTCAGGAATATCCATTACTTAATGGAGCTTATCATGGTTGCAAGCTACTTTAGGGAAAAAATGAGATATGTACTATGAAGATCAGGTTATCTCTCAGGATCGAAGTGCAAAAAATGCAGTCAGAGTCCTCAGAAGCCTAGAAGCATGAACTAGGAACCAGAAAGTCCTCAGAATCCAGGACAACTGATGTGCTCTTTTCTTTTCTTTTTTTGAGATGGAGTTTTGCTCTTGTTACCCAGGCTAGAGTGCAATGGCACGATCTCGGCTCACCGCAACCTCCGCCTCCTGGGTCCAAGCAATTCTCCTGCCTCAGCCTCCCAAGTAGCTGGTACTACAGGCACGCGCCACCATGCCCAGCTAATTTTTGTATTTTTAGTAGAGATGAGGTTTCACCATGTTGACCAAGATGGTCTCGATCTCTTGACCTCGTGATCCACCCTCCTTGGCCTCCCAAAGTGCTGGGATTATAGGCGTGAGCCGCTGCG